GTTTGACGCTGGTCCATTTGAGAGTGGCCCACAATGCGGACGTGACGTTGTATGTCGTTGTGCGTCGGGATGTGGTGGGCACAGATGGGCCTGGTGCCGTCGCTTTGCGTCGTCGTCGTTGTCGGTAGCTGGGGTCTCGGCTCGGTGTCGGCAAGTACCCATCGATCTGGTCCTTGTACGGCATTGCTATCACGATGGCGTACGTGGCCACAAAGAGGCAGATGAGGCAGCCACAATGTCGTGATGCCGCTGCGCTGTGCTGGGGCTCGTGGGAACCGCTGGCATCTGGGTACTCATCATCGATGGGGTCGTTGTCGATGTCGGCCTGCCAGTGGCCAATGACACTGGGGTTGGAGTCAGTCACGTTGACACGGTGTACAGAGGTGTAGGGCGTGGTGCTGCCACCTGCGGTCTGGGGATGTCCAGGTCCAGCCAGTGCTGCAGCGGGGCTGAAGCCGCCACTGCACGGACTGGCATGAGCTGGCGATGCAGTGGTATGGCTTGTCGCGTCGGCGGCAGTGACGCCTTCAGCGTCGTTGAGCTGTGCGCAGGGGTCGGCCTGAGCCGAGTTGTTGGGCGGACTGCTGTGCGACGAGGTGTGCCCTAAGTGGGGTTCACTGTCGCGGTCACGCTGGGCCGTGTCGCCTGGTGGTGTTGTGCCGTCGCGATCCTGGGTTTCCATGTCGTCCTGGCTATCGTCCACGTGGACCGAGCCCAGGGATATGTTGCTGATATCGTCCGACGCGTGGAATGAGTCCAGGGGTGTGTCGCTGATGTCGCTGGCCGCGATGTGCTGAGGCAGCCATGGTACGGGGTCGTCTGCGGCCTGATCACCCGTGGCGTGCTGGGCGAGGCCAGCTGGCGGTGGTGAGTTAAGCGGTTCCATCGGTGCCGCGGCGAGCTCTGCCTCCACAAGCGGCTGCATGTCTGTCGGGCGGTGCAGGATCGCATCGGCGAGGTACGCCAGGGCGTCTTGGTCGGGTGGGGGAAGGCCTCTTGGTAGTAAGGCGTGGGCCCGTGAGAGGTATGGCGGCAAAGGTGCCGTGAAAGCTTCAGGGCCGACAAGCTGGGCACGAGCACCCTGGTATTCCAGAAGGAGGCCAAAGTAACGGGTGGAATACTCGCGGCTGCCTTGGATAAGAGTGAGGTTGCGGTTTGTGCGCTGTCTGTCGAGGCCCGCTCTATACCAGATGTCCTCGCACATGTCGAGCGCGGTGAGCTGGCGCAGGGCGTCGGTTGTGTCCTCAGAATCCTCCTGGAAGAGGTGATCGTACTGTGGCAGATGAAGCGTCGCCAGGATGTACGGGACGCAGTCCTCGAGCCATGCCCAGAACACGTCCTGGTGGTCCTCACCTGGTGCCCACGCCGCAGCACACGGTATGAGCCGGGCACGGATCATCATCAGGTGCCAGAAAGCAGGGTCCTCCTCGGGTTCGCCCCTAGCGCACAGGGGGGTGGTGAGACCCGTGGGGCAATAGCGGGGCACGACAGCGGGGCTGAAGCCGCCACTGCGTGCCTGGCCTATATCAACGTCCCCGTCAAGGATCTGCTGCACCGCAGTCGAGGCCACGCTGGGGGTGGATTTCGATGCATGTGTCGTAGTTGACAAGGGCGTGCATGCGCTCACGATGGCGCCCAGCGGTCCGTTGCCGCACGGACCCGCGGCTACGGTGCTGTTCACGATCGGGTCCAAAATGGTGCAGTGATCGTACTTGTAGATGCTGTCATCGTAAAGGTAGAAAAGAGTCCCACGTTCAGCGTGTCGCAGGAAAACCTCACCTCCATGCTGGGGCGCACCGCCTGAAGACGGGTGTGCTCCAGCGAGCGAGGGGAGGGCCAGGCTGCAGGCAAGGCGCCACATGATGGCGAGGCCTGGCGGGCGGCGCGAGCGATGAGCCAAAAGCTGCATGTCAGCACGCATCCTCAGATACCCCTGCATGCTCATGTACATTGCAACAATCACGCCCCCTGCAAGATGACGGGTGTCCCTACACCAGATAGCTTGCACGTGCTGCTGCCAAAACTGACATGATATGACAAGAAAGAGATACGACGCGAAGAGAGAAGAGATGCCTCTGAAGGCGCTTCCTCGGAGGGCTGAGGCAGGCTCTCTGAGGCACCTTCAATAGGGTTCCTGAGTGACCCGACCCTTGTCTTTGCCTTTGTCAGCCCCTGGGGGCCCCGTCCCTGGGGTGACCTGGCCTGGCTGGTCGATCCACCCGCAGACAGCCACGGGATCGGCAACTGATGCAGCTTCCTCCTTTTTTGTTTCGAGAGTGGCCACCTGTGGCAGGTGGATGGTGCCCCCCGTGAGGTGCCCGAGGAGGGCCTGGATGTCGCCACGCAGTGCAGCAGCTTCGGTGGTTGCCGTCTGTTGCTGGGTGACGACGGTGGCAAGCCCTCGTTCCAAACCTGAAACGTGCTCCGTGAGTGTGGCCTGGGATGAGAGAACGCCCGCAAGCTGAACCTGCATGTTATCCACCGTGTTGGCAAGCAGCTCGTGCTGTTGTTCCATGTGTTGGATGCGGGTCGTGGCGGCATCTGGCAGTTTAGGGGCCGTTGCGAAGCGTTCGCCGAAGGTGTTGAGTTCGTGAGATGCCACGCTGTATTCATCACCTGATGAGAGGATCTCGACGTCGTCAGCGTCGCCTGGTACCTCGGCGGCTGTGGCAGCGTCCCCTTCCGTGTGGCCCCCACCTTCAGCCGCCACCGTGCCAAGCTGCGGGTCATGACCACCTGATCCTTGGACGGCCGTCTGCTCGGCAGCTCCATCCGTGCCGTGCGGGGGTGCAGAGGAGCTGCGGCCTGGGGCGCCGTGTGATCTTGCGTGCGGCGTGGCGTCGCGTTTCCCACTGGAGGATCGGTGGCGCTTGGCTAAAGGCTCCTCCTTGGGGATCAGGAGCGGTGCGACGCCCTTGCCTTTGGGCGTGGCAGTCATGAGGTCGTGGAGGTAAGGGCTCTGGGCCGCTTTGGTGAGGAGTGTGCCAGTGGCGGGGCTGAAGCCGCCACCACGGGCTGGCGGCGTCACAGGCTCTGTGATAGTGGTAGGGGTGACAATGGTAACGTTGTCCCTCTTCGGCACCACCTCAGCCAACGGGGCCTCGGTGATGCTCCACGGGATGGGGCACCCTGCGACCTGTACCGTATATGTGAGTGGGGGACGATGGGCGCGCACTAAGGCAAACTGAGCCGAAGTGGCTGGGTCCCAGGCGGTGTGGTAGACCTCACAGTCCCATTTAACGGACGGGCCCGTGAGAGTCTTAGCGAGCTGGGTCAGCGTGGCGTGGCGTGCCGCAATGCCAGTGATGCGGTAGCGCGTCTTGGCGAGGGTGGCTTCGCAGCCACGGATGCTGACGGCAGCAGCCTTGGCGGCGTCTGACCCTCGTGCAACACGGATCCCCAATAAGCCTGACTTGCCGTGCCTGACGACTCCTAGGGCCTTGAAGTCCACCGACTTCTGGAACGCATCTGCCATCGTGATGGGCTGGTCCTCAGGGAACCACACGGTCTGGTACTTGTCTGCAGTGGGCTCGTCTGCACCTACGTTGCTGAGGTCGTAGGTGGCGCCGAGTTGCCCTGAACCCGCCAAGACCTTGTCAACCGCTTGAAGACTGACGCCGAAGGTGGCAGCCAGGGACCTCTTTCCGACGCCCGATCCATACCTGCCTAGGCTTTTGCAGGGTTCGAGGATGGTGACGGCTTTAAAGTTGCCGTGGAAGAGGGCCTTGAAGGTGTCCTGGAGCTGACTATCGAGCTCCTGGCGGCGAGCGTCTTTCTTGGACTCCCTGTGCTTTTGGTTTTGGCGCGCCTTGTCCTGTGGAGCGGAGTCCCTTCGGAAAGGGCCCTTGGCGCGTGGACCACCGTTCACGGGGGCACCTCCCGAGAACTGGTCCTCGAAGGCCTGATGCATGGAGGGGACTGCGGCGATGGCCTCGGTTTCATGTATGGTCGCCCGAATCCAGCATACGTGGTCGGCAGGGTCGATGGTGGCGACGGCTACTTTTTCCGTGCAGGCGACTTCCTTGGTGCCCAGCTGGTACACGGTCACGGGGACGTGCGTGTGGACCACTTTGGGCGCCTTGGGGTGACGCTTCAGCACGGGGACGGCGAGCTCGGTACCGACGTAGTTATCGTTTTTTGGGCCCATGACAGCAATCGCAAGCTGACCCGTGGTACGCTTACCCTGCTCGAGGTGGTGTTGCAGCAGCCGTTCACCGCTCTCGTAGTCGTGGAGGCTGATACCGGGCTTGCACGTCTTGCCGTCGTCAAGTGATGTGGGTTCGGCGAGGACTGGGACCTTCCAAAAGGCCGGGTCCAAGGCAATGAATTGGGTGTCCGCAGCCTGAAGACGTGCGGACGCAGCTGGTGGGTGTGATGTGTCACCACCAATGCGCTTAGGCTTGCTGCGCTGGTGGTGATCCAGCGTGTAGCTGATCTGGTTGGCGGCACACATGCGGATCAAGGCACTGCCGAGCTTCTTTGTGTTGGTCTTGTGCATGTCGTACGTGGCCTGAAGCTCGTCCGCGTTCAGCTCGGCAAGCCCGTTGTATGCGGCCGTGGGGCGGTCAGACCCCGCTTGCTTGAAAGCTGCGATGCAGTCCTGCTTGCGTTGGAGGAGAGACCCTTCAGCAGCAGGACGTGAGCTCGGAGGCTGCTTGGAAGAGCGACGGCGCTCCGGCTTACTGGGGGCCATTGCTGCGGGCGCTCTGGTGGGGAGAGGTGACGCGAATCAGTAGGGTCCTGCTGGGACCCCTCCGGTCTCGCGAGGCCTGGGAGTCTGACTCCGAGGCGGGGCGCTTCGCGTCGCGGCTGCGGTCTGAGTGCTGGGCACTCTCGAGCCGAGACTAGAGAGAGAGAGAGAGAGAGAGAAGGCGAGAGACACAGAAAAAGAGAGAGAGAGAGAGAGAGACAGAGAGCGTCGAACCGACGACAAACGCCGACGACGACGACGCCATCGCCGACGACGGCGCCGACGACGACGCCGACGACGGCGCCGGCACCGCCGCCGCTGCGGCGGCGCGCAGCAGGTCGCCGCCCTCGACGCCCAGGACACCCGGCGGGCCGCCCACCGCGAGGCCCGGCAGCAGGCCGAGGGCGAGGATCGCCGCCTCCGCGTGCCGCCGCCGCGGCCGTCGCCCCTCGGCGGCGAGCGAGGAGGGGGCCTGCGAGGTTCGAGCTTCGAGGCTCGAGGCTCGAGGCTCGAGGCGTTTTTTCACAGGCTTCGGCCTCTGGGGGCCGCTCTCGGGGCCTGGGACCCCCGAAGCTCGATCCGGGGTAAATTGGCCGCGTCGGACAGACCCTGGGAGGGGTCCAGGGACCCATTCTGACCGATATTCGGCGGCAAGCCCAGGAGGGGAAGCGAGAAGGAAAAGGCCTTCTCAGACGGCGGCGGGACTTCTCAGACGCCCTCGCGCCTTCTGAGAGGTTCTGTCTGCCTTCGGGGAAGGCTCAGGGAACTTCTCAGAAGGCCGGGGGACTTCCGAGAATTCTGAGAAGGCCCGCCCCTTCTCACTTCCCCCCCCCTCGCTCGCCCCCGAGTCAACGTCGCGGTCGTCGCAGACGCCGCCGCTGCCGCCTGGCGGCCTGTTGGTCGCCAGCGACGGCAGCGGCGGTTCTCTGTCGCCGCTGCCTGCGCCGCCGCCGCCGCCGCCGTCGTCGCCTGCGCCGTCGTCATCGTCATCGTCGGCGCTGTCGTCGTCCCCCTCCCTCTTTCTACCCCCCCTGGGGCGCCCCGTGCCTCCGAGCGCCCGGGCGGGAACGGAGACGAGGGCGGGCCGCGCGGCTCGGCCTCGACATCCACGATGTCGAGGCCCGAGCTGGAGAGGGCGGGGGCTTTAGCACGGCATGCTGGTTCCATACTGTTGGAGCAGCATGCTCGCCTGTCTTCGCGGGGCCCGCCCGGCTGCGAGAGCCTCGCTTCAGCAATGAAGCATCCTTGATTGAATCCGGTCCAGTGAAGAAGCTGGCGATGACGCAGTGGAGTGTAAGCAACTGAATAAAACGGCAACTACGAGTCCACAGCCCGTTCGTGGCGCAGGCGTCAGGGAGGACGTAATACATCAAACTCTCCGTCGCTGCGGCTCCATTTCTACAACGGATGATCACGGCGTCGCTGCGAACTGGAAAACGCAAAAACACAATGCGCCTGCCAGCGGCCAATTTTGGGCCCAGGCCGACGCCGTCCGTCCCCGGATATCCGACGGCTCGGGACAAACCTCGACGGCCAGACTCTCACAGCCTTGGACGCAAGGAAGCCGCCCACGGGCCCCCACCCGGCCCTGCGGCAACCCCGCGAATTTAAAACCTAGCCCGAGGCGCTCCCGCACTGCAACGGAGACGCTCCCGTCGGCTCACCCAGCATACTTGAATGGGGTAGATTCAGTCGCTGAGCCGGACTTCGCTTTGCCCTTGGATGGGTTTCAAGGGCCCTGGCTCGCCTATGAAGGCGGCCACGTTCCCATTCGTATTTTCGAGCTTCTGCCTCTCTTTCTTTTGCTGTTGTTTCTGTATCTGTATATCTCTCTCTCTCTCTTGTTTTTTTTTGTTTTTTCTCCCTCTCTCTCTCTCTCTTTTTTTTTTTTTCTCTCTCTCTCTCTCTCTCTCTCTCTCTCTTCCGTACCTGCCAGCATCAACCACGGCGGCGGGGGGGGGGGCAGAGGAGGGGCGGAACGGGGAGGACCGAGGCGGCCCCCGCGACCACCACAAAACCCCGGGCGGGGCTCTCTGCCCCCATCCCCCCAAACAAAAAAAGCTCTCTGCCCCCCCCCCCGCCCACCCCCACACGGGGCTCTCTGGCCCCCCCCCCCCACACACACACAAAACCCCGGACGGGGCTCTCTGCCCCCTCCCCCCCCCCACACAAAAGAAGCTCGCGTGCCGGAGGCGGAGGGTCACAACCGCGCACCCCGCCTAGAGGAACCCCTGAGCGGGGGCCCCTGGGCTCGAGCTCGCCTCTGGGCCCCGCCCGAGAACAGCGGGCGAAAACGAACACGAAAACGAATACAATTTGTTGGGGGAGGGGCCCCAACAACGAAGACGGATAGAATTTGTTGGGAAAACGCCCGGGGCCCCAACAACGAGAACGAATTGCTGGGGGAGGGGCGAGAGAGCACGGGCGAGACGGCCACTCTAGGGAGGGGGCGGCCGCACTACTCGCCCCGCAACAAGAAAATTCGTCGAGGCGAACCTCGTGAGGCTTGAATCGTGGTACCTTTTCCCCTTCAGGTGCTCTGCAGTCGGACTTCATTGGAGACGGCACGCGAGAGGACACAAGACCCTTCCAAGGGCCACGTTGCCACAGAACTGCAGGAGGCATGGGTCGCAGGACACAGGACACGAGGGTGCCCTCGATTTGGCAGGGTCGACCTACTGATCCGGGCCGCCTGTATTCAGCGAGTGGAGTCGGACAACTGATAGCTCAACGATGCGTTCCCTGAGGTGCGCGTCGTAGAAGTGCACGACCGAGTTGCAGTCAAGCAGATGATGCCAGCGGACAAGGACCAATACACGACAATCCCTCCTTGCACAGCCAGCCGTGAAAAGGACAGCGCCGAGAGACCCGAAATCATGGCACGACGGACGACGGCCAGCAGGCAGAGTGCGACACCACGAGCAGGCATCCGATCACGAGGTCAGGGAGCTCTCGAGGTGCACAGCCCCAGCCTCGCGGCGGCAGGCTGCCCAGCTGCGCAGCCGCAAGGGGGCGGTTCGCCCCGCGGCGGGCGTCTGGCCGACGTGGCCTGCCCCCGCGGCCGTTGGCGACACGGGCCCGCGTGCGACGCCTCGTCGGGGGGGGGGGCGCGGGGGGGGGCCTGTCGCGGCCCCCGCTGGAGCCTCGAACTGGTCGGGCGCCAATGTGGGCCGCTCGCCTGCCGAGGCTCGAGTTCGGGAAAAGCATTGGGATGGAACTGATGGAACTGTGGCCCGCAAGCAGCAACGCCCCATGCTGCGCAAAAAGGACCTGCCACGTGGCGCACAAGCTCACGCCTGGCAACGCCTTCGGCCCAGGTGACAACGCCCAAAACACAACACTTCTACGGCGCCGTGAAGACACCAGGCGTCACTGCGGGCGCGGCGCGAAGCGGACATCGCGGCGTCTCGCGGCAGCTTGGGCCCCCGTAGTGGCACGTTGCCCATCCGCGCTGGAGAAAGACCGCGGCGAACTTGTTGCAGCTGGTAGCCCTCTTGCGTAGGGGAACGACCTCGCGGCGTGCTCGGCGGAAGATTGCCCTCCTGATTCGGGGAGCGACCTCGCCGGGTGCCCTGCAAGAGGCCGCCCTTCTGCGCATGAGAACGACCTCGCAGGGCGCTCCGCCAAAAAAAGGCGGCCCTCCTGCGCCCGCTGCCCTATTCCCTGCCCTGGCATCCCGCGCCTTCCCCCCCCCCCCCAAAGAATGAAGGAGAGGGCGGGGGGCAGCGGCGAGGAGCCCCGGGGACCTCGGAGGCGGCCGCGGTGGTCGCCAGAGGACACGCGCATGGGCGGGCTCACCTGACTGCCGTCGGTCAGAGCCGTTGAGTGTCGGCGGCGGGCCTCTGCCCCTCCTGTTTTGGGGCGATTCGCGTGTCCTCTCGGAGACCCGTCTCCAGCGGCGCCCTGCCTCGGGCTCGCAGGTTGCTTCCTCGTCCCGCATGTGGGGCCCGGCATACTGTTGGTTGCGTCGTCACCAAGGCCAGTTCGGCCTTGTGAGGGCGAGCATTCTAGGGGTCGCGTTCGTCTGAGCGGTCTGCGGCTTTTTCTCCGCCGTTGCATGCGCGCGCGCGAGTTTGCCTATTCCCCAATTTCTACAAGTTCCCGTTTGGCGGTGCGAGCGCACTGGCCTTTTGCTGCTCGGTGCGCCGCAGTTTTGGGGCACTTGCCTTCTATGGCAGATTCCTCGTGCCACTGGCTGGCGACCGACTTGTCAGCAAATCCTGCCGCCTTTCTCTTCAAATATTCTAGCTGCTGCAATGGGCAATGTCCTGAAATGCGCGAGCGTCTCTAAATCGGGTCGCTGCAGACATCCTTGGTGGCGGACATGGCCGAACGGACTCCTGGGTCTTTGCCCTTCCAGGAGTGATTTTTGCGCGTCTGTCGCGAAGCCGCTCGCGGGTCATGTTTGGGCCGCCCCTTTCCATCCTGCAAAGCGCCCTCGCATCGCATCCGAGGATGGGGGGGCTCGGGAAGGGCTCTCACCCCCAAGGGTGCGCAGCCCCAGCCCTCGATCATCTCGCCATCATTACCAAGCCACGATCACGAAAGGGATCTGTCCCCATTTCACGAGGCGACGGGCAGCCTTAGTCTCGTCCTGTCGCGCGTTGACTCTCCTCCTGAGGTCGTCGTTTAACAAAGTGCTATTGCGGGCCGTGCTGGTCGTCAGACCGATGATCTCTAGAATTCGCCGCTGTCGAAAAGGGGCTCGTAGGTCGTCGCAGCAGTCTCACTTGCGCGGAGCAAGGGGTGACGCTTTCGTCTGGTCTGCCAGACGCAGAGCACGTCGTCTCGCGCACGTGCCGTTTCCGCGCCCGGAGTGTGGCGCAACAGGCAGGCCTCGGTCTGCAGCAAACTCGTTTTCTGTGTGTTGGCTTTGGTGCAGCAAGATTCGCAGTGCATCGCCAGAGGCGCTCTGCCGCTCGGGAAATGACGATCCACCGCAAGCTACCGTAAGATTCTGCCTCCGAGGTGGGCGGTGGCGCGCGTCTCGATCGGCTGCCCTGGATCAGAGAGCGGGCCCGCAGGGCCGTTCTTTGGAGCGGTGGATTTTTGGCTGCCAGGGGATCTCGTTATTGGGTGCGGCGTAACTACCAGGAGCTCTGCTGATGTTGCCTCTGCCGAGGGGGAACGATAGGGGGGGGGATAGGGATAGGGGGGGAAACATCGACCTGGAATCGGCGATACATCGCCGATAGATCGGCGATGGGCCTGCGATAGTGAATCCGCACCTTCCTGGGCAGGTTGGGGCCATGGGGCCCCTGTCGGCGATCAATGTGCGATTTGGGGGTCGACGCATCCTCCCCTATGCCTATCCCCCCCTATCTTTGCCCCTGATTTGCCACCTACCCCTGATACCGGTCACTTCGAGCTCGCGGTGGGTTGTCCATCAGCCGTGTTCCGCACGCTCGGCAGCGGGTT